AGAAAAATAAACGCCACCCTTGAAGTGTCACTTAAAGTGAGTAAGTGACGCTTAAAGTGACTGTCACTTATAAGTGTGTGCATCCTTTTGAGAGGTCGTTTCCCCCTTGAGTCGTACTCAGTTTTTTATGCGAATCCGAATAAAATAGTTTCGGAACGTGCAATTATTTGAAAGTGTTTATAAAGGAGGGATCTGTATAAGGCGAGGAACCGGCCCACAATCTTTTTCGAGCGAAAATGGTCTTGTACGTAGTAAAAATGTATTCCTATTCGATTCCAGGTAAAATCGAATGCTTTTGTTCCCGAAAATCACGTTAATCTCTCGACAATATCATCCCAGGCGGCACCCTTAAAATAACACAAAAATCATAAGTAAAAGCGGTTTTCCTTGCATTTCCTACACCTAAACGGTAAATAAATATACTGTTAGGTAACCCTTCAAAGTCTCTACAAACTGAGCTAGTCAGATACTCCAGATCAGTCGACTCGGTCATCAAGAACATGGAAAAACGCGTTGGACCTATATACAAGTTATTCTGAAGATTGCTCACCCAAAACTTGGCCTGAGGAAATGGCAAACCATATATTCTTGATCAGTTCAATTAGGTCTATCTATCCACTGAATGAGCCATTTCGCTGCGATCACCAAGATGGTTCAATAGAAAATTGGGAAGTATCGTGTGGCTATCCACATAAAGGGCTGTGTGCAGTGAATGCCATTTGGTTTTGGCTTTGAACCGAGCGACTCCATCTATAGAAGCTGCCATGCTGAAGCAAGGATCAGGTTCACCAGCGCGTTCCAGAATAGCATCGGTAAACATTTTGCGCGGGAGTCCTATGATGGAGCTCAGAAGACGATGTGTACTGATTTCATTCAACATGGGTCTACTGACAGCTGCATCACCTGAGGAAACGGCAAACCATATATTCTTGATCAGTTCGATTAGCTCTATCGAACCATGTATGAATTAATCGCACAAATTTTTCACTCCACTCTCCACCTTAAGATAGTCAGTCGAAGTAGAAGTGCCGTTGCTTTTCTGTAAATCAAGACCCTATTGAACAGAAAATCGACAAATATTTTGGTTTATTATTCGATTTTGCATGCATGATAAAATACCACTGTTTAGTATTACAGTGTACGAGCAGAAAAAAAGTCACATTTTCCGAGCTTTAAAACTACCAAGCATGGCATCAAAACATTACGTCATCAACAGAACGGGTTCAATAAGATCAAGAAAGATTATCTTAGAGGGAGCGGATAAAAAAACATGAAAAAAAACGATTATGGAAAACGTGTATGGCTCCTTTGGAGATTCTAAAACTAATGGCAGAAAGTACCGTATAAAACTATGAGCAAGCTAAAGATGAAAATGAGTGCAAAATTAACTTTTGTTTGTGTTTACGAATAAATAAAGCACAAATAATTTCGAATATTCTCATTAATGGTATAATGAATTTTGATCGCCACGGATGTCTCCGTCGATATTTTTTGTCAACATCAAATATAAATTTTAACATTGTAATACCGACAACTAACAATATTGTCACATCATCGATCATATAGGGTAATACTTGTCGCCAAAGTTCATCAAACACAACTGTATAATAATATGTGGCTGCTTTTGATAGAGTTATGTCTAAAATACATTCCGATTTCATTTTTTGATTAACATTACTCAATGCACTTGATTCAAATAATTCTTCACCACATAAAGGTCCACGATTTTTAGGAACACCAGTCATAAGTGTTTTTGTTAGGCCATATGTTCTTAACTCATTTAAATAACGATAATACATCATTG